GGTAAGAAAAGGAGCAGAAAGAAGAAGCAGAACGGAGAAGGAGTAGAAATGAGCAGAAAGGGGCAGCAAGGATCTGGAAGGGACAGCAAGGACCACAACAGGTAAAGTAGAAGGAGCACAAAGGAACACAAATGAGCAGGAAGGGGCAGCAAGGAGAACGAAGGAAGGGTCTGCAAGGAGCACGAAGGGTCAATGAGGATCACGAAGGGTCAACGAGAAGGAAGGGTCAACGAGGAGAAGGAAGGGTGTGCGAGGAGCAGGAAGGGTCTGCAAGGAGCTGGAAGGTAAAGCAGCACAAAGGTAAAGTAGAAGGAGCAGAAAGGGTCAGCAAGGAGCTGAAAGGGACAAAAGGAGCACAAAGATGAAGTAGGCGAAGGAACAGAAATGAGCAGGGAGAGTCTACAAGGAGAAGGAAGGGGCAGCAAGGAGCACAAAGGTAAAGGAGCAGAAAGAATCAGAAGGAGCACAAAGGTAAAGTAGGAAAAGGAGCAGAAAAGGGTAGCAAGGAGCAGAAAGGGACAGCAAGGAGCACAAAGGTAAAGTAGGAGAAGGAGCAGAAAGGGTCTGCAAGGAGCAGAAAGATCAGAGCGAGACAGGAGCAGAAGGGGGAGCACAATAAGCAGAAAGTAGCAGAAAGGTAAAGGAGCCAAGGAGGAAAGGAGAGGAGAGGAGAGAAGACAGTGTCAGAAGAAAAAGAAGACTGTATCAAATGAAGGAGTAGAAAAGGAGATTGGAGCAGGAAGGACAAGTGAAGTGAACCTTCCACATCATAAGGCTTTGGTACCTGGGCCTGGCAGGGCAACTTTGGACCTTCTCATCTCCCCAGATAAAAAAATATCAGTGTTAATGTGTTCACTTTTATTTACTGAGTGTCAGGAAGCAGAGGGCCGCTGGGGAGGGGTGTCGCTGATTGGCTAGAGCGGTCAGCTGGCACTCTAAGCCAATCAGTAGCTTCTCATTCATAAAAAAGTAAAACATTTTTATGAACCGGGAACTAGCGATTGGCTTAGAGCATCAACTGACCACTCTAGCCAATCTGTAGCACCCATGCCTGACGTCAATCTGCACTTTCTGACACTCCGTTTCAGAAGCCGAATACCACCGAGCGACCTGGAAATCTGGAGCTGGAGGAAGCCTTTGGGGTTAAACCATTTGAGAGCGGTTTAACCCCTTACAGGAAAGAGAGCACCCAGGGGCTTCCTGGCATCATAGCATTTTCATTTAGATTAAGTTGTTATGGTGACCAGAATGTTCCTTTAATAGGAACACTATTGTGTCAGGAATACAAACATGTATTCCTGACACCATAGTTGTGAAAATGCTATTCACCCTGGCTTTATGTGATAATGACTATGCTCCTCCCCTTCATGAAAATGTCAAAAAGGGACCAAGCATGGAGGTCATTACAATTATGCCCCCTCCCCCCTGGAAAAATTCCTGCGGACGCCCATGGCGGGTTCACTCCACATACGCCTTTGAAGGCATGAGTTTCACCTTCCATGCCGACCTCTAGGGGGGCACCATGGCATGGCGGAGGACCCTTTAATCATTTAACACCCTCCTGTGCGCATGCAACATAACCTGTGACGCAAGTCACACACCCAGGCGGTGCTTTTTGGAGAAGCCAAATACCCAATCAGGAACATACAGGAGGCAAGGTCGCTTCTTGGAACACTGGGACTCCCACCAGACTCTCTACATTCAAGACAGCAACTTGCCTCAGAAACCCACATCTGTGATCCGGCAATGCTCGCTCCATTTGTGCCCCAGGTGCCCACACAGAACACTTATGCAGCAGTCACTACCTGAATGTCGGGACACTGCCAACTGAAACGGACGGAATGATTAATTATTGGTTGCTTCAGTTATACGATGTTACTTAACCTGTTGACTAGCAGTGACCTGACCCACAGACATTGCACGACCTTAGCATCAGTACAAACATAAGCCTAAGCCCTCTCCCTCGTACCGTAATCTTACCTCAGGGCACCAGTAGAATTAGTGTTAGTTACAGAATTAGATTCTACCCCCAACCGAGCGGCCCAGAATATCGACCACGCACAGATAACTACTTTTTCACTCGCCAAATAGTCTTATTTAGTCTTACTCACGGTAGCTTAAATGTCACCACACGACTACAAACCTACATAGTACTTTTATTGTCACTTCCCCAACAACTATAAAATGGGGAGTCCTAACACGTCCTGGTCGACTGTTTCCCAGACTGAGACATAGGCCAACTAACAAGGGGCCATAGACTGACACAGTCCCCCTCCCTCAGCTAACGGCTTGGGATTTCACATTGGTCTGCAGGTTTTATTTTACTTTGGGCCGGTTGCCGTTTGACTTTCCTTTAAATTGAGTTGCCCTTGGACGGATACTTTAATGACCACATGTGAGAATGTGCCACCACTCATGCCTAGACTTTACAAATTGTACCCAATATGTGTTTACATGTGAAACACCACACTATCAAGCTTAGGCTTCCTGGCCCAGGCTGAATATTGGGTCACCGACCAGCACAGCCTCTCCTTGACGGAAGGTTTAATTTTACACGCCTATGATAAAACATGTGGATGGAGACAAGCAGGTTATGTTAAATTAGGCCTGTTGCAGTTTGATTCTGGCGCTAAGTTGATCATTTAGACACTTTTATGCGCGAAAGGTAACACTTGTTCATCTTCAAGAGTGAAACTAAGCCAATATTTCTATTTAAAATATATACGACCTGCTACTTACTCATACTTAGCCTTGCCGGTCTTACTTGATTACATTTTCAAACAAAAACACAAACGTGTGCTGTTACTCATGATATATTGTGGATTAACTCGTACTCTGAAATTTCATGCTTAGTTTATTATCCAATGTCATGGTCTATATGTGTAAGACTCTTTGCACAATCAAAAATAAAGAATGTTTTAAAAAAACAAACAAAAAAAACCATCGTAATGAAATGAATTTAGGGGACATATAGTGCCCCAACAGCCATACCATGTAAAATCTGCATTTGTCATATGGAGGGCATAAGTGAGCCCGGATGTCACCTAAACCAACAGATCACTCAAAACAAAGAGAATACAGAACACCTTTATTTTCAGAGATTTATTTAGTGAAACCACAGTGAGGGAAAGGTTTCAATCCATGCAGAGATTTATTAAATTTTTTTGTCAAGCTATCATTCATCGGCACTATATGGAATGCATAGGTAATCTAAAACACCTGTGGATCATGAGCAGCTATTCCTGGAATATTTTTTTTTTTTCCACATGTCCAACAGTAAAATGGTTTTGTAGATGGCCCTTAGTGGGATTTGTATAAATGTCATATTACATTAGTAAAAACACAACATGATTTTATATGGTAGAAGTCAAATTTTGTGGTTATCCGGTTGAAGACATCTGAACAGGAAAGAAGCGGGTTTTTTTGGGGTTGTTTTTCACTACCACTTCTTTTGTTTTTGACAGGTAGATTTGTGGAAATTTACATAGAGCAATTCTAGTACAATTAACTGTATGTTGTGCAATCTGTATAGAAACCAACAGAATTCTAATGCTTATTTCCCTACTTTTCAAACTAGGGCCTGCTTTACTAATTATTGCTTATTAAATAACCTACTTAAAAAAATAAAAACTCAAATGTCCTTTTAATAAGTGCGGGCGTTTTATACACATTTCTAATAGGTTAAAATTTTGATAAGGAAAAGCATGCATTTATTCAAATTGCAAAACAAAAAGGACAGTGCTAAGAAAAGAAAAACAAAACACACCAAACAAAACAAAAACACAACAACTTACTAGCCTGAGATTTGAGTTCTGCTCTAATTTTTGTCTTACACAAAATGTACGGTTTGGACACTACGTAGAACCATGTATGTGCAACCATGCCAGAGTACCCAAAAAAGAAATGGGAACTCTACCAAAACATGCAAACAGCACACTGTGCCTTCATAAATAGCCAGCCCACTATTCTTTGCCATTACTTTAGCCAGCACCTGCAGGTTTAAAAGGCTGGCAAGTTCAACCAGTGGTGGATGGTGTGGTTTAAAGACTCTCCGCAATAACTGCATTACGACCGGTTGTAATCTACCAAATTAACCACTCTAACTGGATCCAAAGAGAAATGAGGTCCCATAAAATACCACAACACCATAGAAATGTAGCATCCTCCCCATTTATACCAAAATAATATACATACATATATCTATTCATAAAAATGTATGTGTAATTATATATTATTTTTTTTATTTTACTATTGTCACAATCTGAAGTTGTCCAAGTATGCCTGTGGACTGGTCTATCCTATAAACAAGCTTATTTAGAGTGCCTCTTTACAGGTACTCTAATTGTTTCTTTTAAGTCCACCATGTCAGCGCATTTAATGAAACCGATCCCAATGCATAGAGTCTTCACTGCAGCCTAATCCTTTCAAAATAAATACTTCTCATAGAGGGACATTACAAGAATACAGCACAGTGATTCTCTCTGACAGAGGTAGACAACCTTTTTAGCAGGAGGTCTGGATGGCATGCCTGTATATGGATGATCTTTGAACAGTTTAATAGAGCTGCATAATTTGGTTTCCCTCTGTGCGATTGCCATGTACAAGGATACCAAACCAATGATTTCTGTTCCAAACAGCTGAAAGATCAATAGAAAAGTCCCTTTCCCCATACCCTTTCTCTCTCATTCATTTCATACCCAATCTTCCCTTGCCCCTTTCTCTTTTCATCCATGTCACTTAGAATTTCTCACTATATGCCTTCCCCACCCCCTTCTAACAATGGATCAAACAGTTACACTTAAATATCCACCACAGAGCTATACAGCCAGCCATAAGACCCATACTGAGACACACAAACACTCAAGTTAGGTAGGGTTGAACATTATGAGGTAGGCCTATCACTTCTAGAAAGGAACGCATCCCTTGTTTCCTGAACGGCAAGGGAGCCAAGAGGAGCTTGTAAGAGTTCTATAAAGAGCAACCTCACGGCACGTTTTATGGCAATATCATTCATCGCTACAGTGAGAGTTGCTAGGAGAGATTTGTAGAAGTCTGCTGTAGAGTACGGCAGGGGGCGGGGCCAGATTCCATTATTTGCAATAATCACTGGGGCCCAGTGTAGTAATAGTGCAGGCTGGGTGCAGCCCATAAGTTGCCATCAACGGCTCTATGAGAAGCACTGAATTCAATGCTGCATACCCAGTTCAGCAACAGCATAAACTGCATGTTGACGCTTTACCTAAAGTAGATTCCATTAGTGAATCCAAATCCTTCAAGGAACATTATAGCCACCAAAACAACTTTATCTTAATGAAGCCGTATGGATGTATAGACAATGTCCCTGCAGTCTCACTGTTCAATTCTGTCATTTAGGAGCTAAAATCACTTTTTTTCTGTTTATGGATCCCTGGGCACACCACCCCAGACTGACAGCATAAAAAAATAATAATAATAATTCATAGATGTTAACTTACTCCAGATGTTTTATATCCTGCTCTGTAAATCAAACAAGAGGCTTCTGCAAGGTTGAGCAAGCTATTAGAGCAGGATATGAGAGATTTTAAATTAAACAGAATTTGCAATAAAGGAAGTATAAACATTAGAGGACTCTACTGGAAGTCTTTAGAAAGGCTGTGCAAGTCACGTACAGGGAGGTATGACTAGGGTGCATAAACAAAATGCTTTAACACCTAAACAGAGAATTTAGAAGTGAAGCTGCATGGGCATAATCTATACACCAAAACTGCTTCATTAAGCTAAAGTTGTTTTGATGACTATAGTGTCTCTTAAGGGCTGTCTGGTAGCCACTAGAGGCATGGGTAATGGCAAAACAGTGCTAAATCTTTGCTCCAAAATCATTTCTAAAAGATGAAATTAATTGCTTTGACTGAATTTAACAGTCAAATTACAGACATACCCTAATTTTGACGTCTCACAGTGATACAGTGTTATCAAACTTTGACTATTTCTAACACTAGATATTACCAACTGTAACCCTTAAAGACCACTTTTGAGCACATAGGCCACCCCAAGCATAGTGATGGCTGTAATAGCAAATCACAATTCTTGCATTGCCTTGCCATCACTTTGGGGAGGGGGGCCAAAACTGCACACCCAATCAGTATTGGACTCTCACAAGAGAGGCAGTTCAGCAATTCCCATGTAAATGTTGAGAACTTGTTACAACATTTAGATACTCTTGATCTATATATGATGATCTGTTAACCTATTGCTGGATGTCACATGCTTGAGATATCCACCATTAGCCCAGTAAATCCTGGTATCAGCATGCATTTGGTGGTCTACATGCCACCACCATCAATGCCCTATGGCTTAATGCATCTAATGGTTGTGGCACGGTGCCACAGCTATCAGATGCATGTGGCAGCCTCAGGGGGCTATTGCCAGACATACTCACAAACGAGTAGTCTGGCAACGGACATGTCTGATAGCAATTGGGGACACCCATTTAAATGTCCACTGTACTCTGTACTTCACCGTCACTTCTACAGTTGTTGAAGGCTGAATTAAAGTGTGTGACAACAGTCATGAATAAGAGGGGAAAAACATTCATAAAATACCCCATAACCAACAGACTTTTCAATAAAGAATTTAACTTTATTAAAAATCAGCAGCAGACAGGTCCACTTTAACCTTCTATGTTTTAAAGGGGTAAACAACTTTAATTCAGCAAATGTATAGTGTAGTATTTAAAGAACATTAGACTAAAGCATTTTAGTTTGTACAATTTGACACCACTTTTAATTGGATTGTTTCATTTCCGTTATGAAAGGCTTCACAAAAATCAACAGGTACATTTTTACATTTTCTTGTAACCAGCTTGTTTGCATAAACTTCCCTTATACAACAATTAATATTGCTGCTGCTTTTTGATTTCAGATGTCAATAGTAAAAAGCCTCATCACTGTGAATATCTTTGAATGGGGTGAAAAATGACAGAGAGGACACTCCGTATACATATATATTTACATGTAAAACCGTATTAAAGGGAGAATAAATAAATAAATAGCCATAGTCTTCATTGGAACACTTTACTATCATGCATATACTTTTATCCAGCTAACCCCTCAGTAGTATGGACTGTGAATGCTTATCTCTGGGACATTAATATAAATCCCATAGCAATTAATAGTTCAGGAAGTTGCAGGCACAAATTAAAATATGCATGCTTTAAAACACAAGTGTCCCCTGCTCAGCGGTTCTTTGAAAAGGTCCACTCTGTAGGACTTACCTAGTTACCATTGAGGTTTATTGTACACAGTTCCCATAATGCTCAGGTAGCCCAAGATTTCCGAGCACCATGGAAAGTGTTAAATGAAACTGCTATAGGGTAAACTCATACCAAAACCACAATGCTTTCAATGTCAGAAATAACCCACAATATGGAAAAACCCATACTATGTACTGCATCCCTACAAAAATGTGCTATTTTATATAAGATTTAAAAACACATTTTGAAGCAAGTACTAAATTAATACCAAGTGTATCAAAACATACTGGCATGCTTCAAAATGGGCTTGTTTTCGCAAGACCTGTTAAACCTATAGTTTGCAATATCAAACATTCAAGTGTATTCAAACCCAAGAATAAAAATAAAAGAAAGCAGAATCCATTACAAAAATCGGGCAAATGTGCACACATTGTTTAATGAATGCATCCTACCACAAAAACAAAGAGTTGGAAAATTTAAGCCAGTATTGGCAAGACTGGAATATGTATAACCCATTTGGGAAATGACATCAATCAGGAGGAATTGGGCTGTTCTATAAAAGGTGTAAATAAAAAAGCCTAGTTTTAAACTTTTTGTATTGAAGTGTGGAAGCTTGAATTCTCAGATTGTTCTAAACCAGGGGTAGGCAACCTTTTAGCAGCACTGTGCCGATATAGGATTGTGATGTCCCGTAGCATGCCGGTCCTATATTTTTAAATTGAGGTGTGTGTGCTGCCGTACTCTGCATGTGTTATTTATTCTGTAATTGCTTTGTATCGTTGTATTTGTGCGTATATGAGCTATTATATTGTATATGTTCATGAGTAGATTGTGGTATTGTGTATGATACATATGAATGTGAGCTGTGTATGGGGGCAGCTTGTGGAATTGTGTGTGTGTGTGTGTGTGTGTATGGATAGGTCATGTTGTGTGTTTGGTAGTGTGTATGTGTGGGGGCTGTTTGGGGTATAGCAGGTGAGAGGCTGCATGTGGGGTTGTGTGGATATATGTGGATTGTTAGTGGTGTTGCGTTTGTGCAGATTGTGTGTAAGTTTGTGTGTGGGCTGTCCGTATTATTTGTATGAGGGGAGGGTCTTTCTACATTTCTGTGTACATCTAGCAGTTTGGGTGGCTTCCCTGGGTTCCAGTGGGGAACATGCCGGCCAGGTACAGGTCAAGGACAGGAGCTGCTCTACTACTGTGTGGATTCCCATTCACAAGTGCTGGAATGAAGTGCTCTGAGATCACTTCCTCTACCTGCTTCAATGCATAAATTGAGGATTGTCCTTCACCACCTCTTCGTATTAGCAGATATCTGAAGTTTTACTGGGACTTCTGATAGGCCAGAGCCTGTTTGGCTCTAGCAGCCTTGAGTGCCGTGCATAGCACTAGTGCCGTAGGTTGCCTACCCCTGTTCTAAACCATGAAACTACAACTATTACCTTTACATACATCAGCCATCCCCCATTACACAGTGAGCACTAAATGAGATTGTCAAAAATAAACATAAAAATAAAATATATATATAAGTCTATGCAGATAATAAATACAGCTTTATTAACTGATTGTTGAGAACATGACTTACAACCAAGAAGAGAAAGAATTGGCTAGTGCAAAGCCATGTGTTTTATACAAAACAAATCTGGAAAAATGTAGTTAAGCTACTCTCCACCTTCTTTAAATTGACAAAATATTTATTCAGTGCGTGAAGTAAGTGGTAATAGATCCTGCCTATACCTTACGTCATTGGATTTGCACAGCAGCAATGTTAATGGTCTGTTACTTACCCCACAGTTAGATTCAAAATTTACCTTATTTCTGTATCAAACAATATATCCTACATTTTAACACCTTTCTCTTTTGTTCTATTTCAGCATAAAAAAAAAAAAAAAAAAAAAAAAAAAAAAAAAAAAAAAAAAAAAAAAAAAAAAAGACTTCATTCTATTTGCCCGCATTACCTCCCTAAAGGTTTCTCACAATAGTAGAAAAGAACCCCAAATCATCAGTAAAGCCTTTGGCATTGTGCATCATCTACACTTTAAGGGTTGGGTAATTAAGCCCAACCAAGCTGCAGTCTTACCAAAATAATTTTACAGGAGAAAAAAAAAATACATTAAAAAAAAAAAAAAAAAAAGGTAGATCTTGGCTGTAAAAACAGCAGTCTTATATGGTTTCATACACTGCACAGATCTGCTATGCTGGAATAATAAAAAAAAAAATGATTTCACTTAGAAAGAAAATAAACTCCCCTCCCCCTAAAGTGTTTGGGCTCCACAGTTCCACGATCACTGAGGAAGGAAAAAGGCAGATGCACTTCAACAAAACTCCAAAAAGCTGGATAAAAAGGCTTTTATTTGGCGTCTTCAAGAGGCTTCACTTTCTGCAGGGGATGTAGGTGATGTTGGGGACACGAGATCAGGTTTTCGGGAAATTCTTTCCAGCTCCGCTTGAACATCTGTTAACACAGGCTTCTGGCCTAGAAAATAAACAAGAAGTTGTGTCAGTTACACTGCCTATAATAAGAGGAATCCAATGGTGTGTATCTTGCTTACTTGAAATTAAAATGAGAGGCAATGTGGATATTTGTACCATGTATTTGCGGCTGATGAATTTTTGAACAGGTGATCATTTAGTAGAAGTCTTAAGTAATTAGGTCCTGTAGTTTATTTACTGCATTCGGGTACATTATAATGTTGTAGTTTGGGGGCGTGTCCGACAGCCGGCGCGTGCGGTCGCATGGAGTAGGAGCTCCCGGCTACAACGGACCCAAACGCAGCGTTTAGGCGAATCCGGAGGTCAATACCCGGTAAAAACTCACCCGGCACTGGATACAGCAACATGGCACTGTCCAAACAATTAAAAATGACGGACCAAATAAAACCCGCCAGAAAAGACAAAAGCAGGCCCCTGCAAGATGGCGACGACAGCATGGGCTGCTATCCGACACCAGATCAGCTCTCAGATACTGACACAACGCCCTCCTCATATACAGAGGCACCAGCCAGCGAAAAAAGGCTGTTTATTATGCTGCAAGAACTGAGAACCACCTTAAATGCGGACATGAAACAAATGACTGCAGAATTTAAGCGGGAACTGGCCGACATTGGGGAC